TGTCCACCCATCGTAAAGCTGCTGAGGTTGAGAGACCCTGTCCTATGGAATATGATGGTACTTGCATGTGTGCGGGCAGGGGAAAGGAGAAATGATCAAGATAGAAATGCTCCATAATAAGGCTCATACTTTTCTTAAAACCCACCCATTTTTAATAAATTGATATCCCTCCTCCTTCCGCTGTGTACGCATGATCAGTATTGGAGGGGCTTGAAGCCATAAAAACCACATGTATATGAGCTGAAGATTACATGTCCACGTACTAGTACAACTAGCCAAACATTGTTTACACTGATTTGTAATCCTGTAATCCTGCTTGCAAAAAAGCAATACATGATGATGATGATGATGAACAGACTCTGGTTCAGATTACTAGGTATTTACAGTTTGCTTTACTTGCTCTCACTTTTGCAAGAAAGGAAGCAGAAGTGAAAGGGTCATTCACGGACATCCTGAGGTCCATCCATCTCTCCTTACTTTTTTGTGATAACAGCAAACAGTGTTAATGTTATAATTAACACTGGATATATTTTTTGAAAAGCCTTTTCTGTGAAAAAAAAACATGTATAGGTGGAAAAGTAGGGTATCACTGCTTCCATTTTAGAGATATCATTTACTGGGAATTGAGACAAAGTTTCCTCCATTATGGTTCCACCTCCTTGAAATTTGTATTTTTAAGCAAAATTCAATATATTACACCACATATTGTGATCTAAACATGCTTGTTCTTTAAAATACAAGTTTAGATATAAGAGGATGTCTTAATTTTCTGAGAGAATTCTACAATTCTGAAAGGTTTTCTCTCCCATTTTCCTTTTATTTTGTGTCTCTAGAGATTCAGATTTGTTCTTACTTGACACTCGGACGATTTGGGCTGAAGAAGAAGGTTGGCTAGTATTTGATATTACAGCAACTAGTAATCACTGGGTGGTAAATCCACAGCACAATCTTGGCTTGCAGCTGTCAGTGGAGAGTATAGATGGTAAGTATCCGAAATTAATACTTTTGGCAAATCTTTTACAATTTGTGTTTGGGATAGCGACCAGTAGTATTTAGAGATGGTGTCACTTTCATGTGTCCCCCTGTAGAGAGGACAGTCCTTTATTCAAAGGCATCCTCTGTTGTAAGGCTGTCCAACCTATATCTGGGTGAGGAGTCATAAAAAGGAAGACAAGGTCCTTGATTAGTTATTGTCTGCTTCACTGATTTAGCTTCAGGTTATTCTTCTTCATCTCTCCCAAAACGATTTTCAAGCCCTGGTTTAGAATTTCCATTGGCTCCCCAAAGTTTATTGATGTGGGTGTTATGTGAACCTGGATGTCATCTTTGCTAAAACCTCTGGATCCAGGGGTACTTTCTTGTTTTGTTTTTGCTTCTGGCAATAGAAGGAAATTACCAGAATCAGACTTCTTCCTCCTTAGATTGAAGGAAGACTAAGAGGAACGAATTCAATTTGTTAATGTAAGAAAAGTACATGTGGAATGTGGGCATTGGCTTGAGTCTTACGTCCATTTCACTTACCCCATGGAGATCTGAGTCCAGGTGGAATGGTTTTGAGGACTTGGTTGAAGTTCTAACTGAAACATAAGCTCACATTTAATAGCAATAACAAGTCCTATTCTCTGGCAATTAGACCCAACAATGGTAGCAAAAAAAGAGAGGGAGAGGGAGGGAATTTTAGAGGGTCTTTGTTTACTTAGAAAGTTTGGCCAAAGTGAAACAATGTAAGAGAGGCTGAAGTAATTCATTAGCCTCGGGCACTCTGTTATCTTCTAAACCCTCTAATGCTTTCCTCCCTGACATTATGTTGGAGCAACAGCTGACTTTGTAAAGTTAACTTGATTTCTTACATACTCATTCATATCCTGTTTGTCTCATTACAGAGGCGAGTTGAAGAAAACTCTTATGCAGCTTGATTCTAGAAATACATGCTTGGCAATAAATCCCATGCAATTTATTGGCATTCCTAGCTAAGAAAATGTTCACTGAATTGTAGATTTAGGGGCATAGCCAATCTAAAGCATAGTTGCATCTTTTCATCTAAACGAAGGGTATTGATATAATGTTTGTATAATGAAAGATATTGATATAATGTTTTAAAATTAATACAACCATATTCTTCTCTAAAGTCTTAATGAGAACCCATCAGAGTGTCTGCCAAGGAACTTCCACTACGACTTGGAGTTGGCACCCAAGATAGTGAGTTACTATAGATAGGAAAGAGAGACTTGTTAAATTAAACCTATTTTTAAATTATCAATAAAATACTGTTTAAGAAAGAACATAGTAACCACTAAAATCCTCCATCACACTTCCCAAATCTACACTTCTGGTCTATTTGAAAAATGAATGATTTTGCCCAGCATTACTGTACAACTGAATAGATTTATTATTATTGATATTACATGCATTGTTTACTAAATGGGTATGCTCAAGGGAGCTAAAAAATTACCATTTTTCTGGTGCCCACTGGGTGCCTCAGAGATCCATTGGCCGCTGGTATGATTTGGAACTGATATAAATAAATTTCCTCTGAGAAATAGTCTGTGCTCTGGTCTTCACTCCTGGTCAGTCAAATGATGGTGGAATTTTGGAATTGTCTCACAAAGTGCTGATAGTATTCCTAGCACTACTGACTTGGGAGCTAGATCTCTAAAGCATTTAGAGCAATGGAGTCCTTGGGGTTCTCTGAGCTTGGTTCTTTTCTTACAAACGTTTCATTACCCGGCTAGGTAACATCTTCAGTGCTAAAATGGGATGGGGTTTGCTCATTTGTGTGTTCTGTCCCACACCAGCTTGCCTAAGTACTGAGATGGACTTCAGAGCCCTGTCTGATTCCCAACAAAACCCCAAGTCATGCTCTGTGACACTTTCACATTGAGATAGCACACAAAGCAATGATTTGCATAGCCACGGTTTGTCGAATAAATCATACAGAACGCTTTGCCATTAAGCACGGCTTACCAACTACATATTCTACTGAGTTCAAACAAAAGGAACAAGCCTTCCCAACCTGGTAAAGCCCTTCCACCTCCCCAAGATCTGTTGTAACCCCAACTACTAGGATTTGCAGTTTCTGGCTATGGTATCTGGAATTTGGGAGTCAGGTTTGGGAAGATTGCTTTAGGCAAGAAAGGACAAGCATGGTTATACATAAAATAAAAATGCCTTTATTATTTATTTCTTGGCATCACATAGTGTCATATTGCAAAGTACTCCTGGTGGTTTACAATGGTATAGAAGCACACCACACAATACAGTTAGGACATTCATGGTGAATGAAAGAAATACAAAAATATATCGAATTAAAAGAAGAAAAAAACAACAAACAGATGCTAGCATTCCATTTGTTCCCCAATATTTTGTGGAACAACTCCGGTTGGACCAGTTTCTGGAAGGCTACTACAGAAGGGGCTAATCTAGTTTCCAAGCTGAGGTTTTTCCATAAACAGAAGCCATCACAGAGAAACCTTGTCTCCAAGCCTCAACCTTACCTCCCCAAAATGGAGTACCAACAGCAGCTTCTTCTGGGATACTCATATGGGACAGATCCCATGATACCTTGGAGCTGAGCCACAAGGGCCTTATAGGTTGAACCTTGCAGTGTGAATTATACCCAGAAACATATTAGGAACATGTGTAGGGCCATCAGTGTAGGTGAAACATGATCATGGCAGGGAGCACTAACCAGCAAATGGGCCACTGTATTCTGAACCAACTGCAATGTTGAAGTGGTCTTCAAAGGTAGCCCCATGTAGAGAGCATTGCATTAATCCCCAAAATAATCTTTGGTTACATAAGACTAAAAAATTTACAGTGATGTCCTTAGTAAGAAGAAGCTGTTTCTATCTATCTCTTAAATGGAATTTTTCTGGAAACACATCAGCTTTTATTTTAGATAGGACATTTTTATTTTAAGCTAATAACTTTTCCAAGGAGAATTTAGTGCTCTGTTGGGCTTAGTTTTATGGTTCCTTTTTTTTACAGGAGCACATTAAATTATAAATCATTGAACTCAAGCCCCCCCTTTTTTTTTAAAGAAATCAAAGAATAGGAAAATTTAATATTAAAGTCTGGAATAACATAGCTTTCATCAGAAGTATTTGGTTCAGGAATGGCACTTCAAAATAGAAAATGATTTTTTTTTAATTGAGCATTTCTTGTATGAAAAATCTTAATTTCCATGTTTAATTAATGTTCCATCTTCATACAGATTGGAGGCTTCCACTGTTGCTGGCCTAACTGGAAAATAGGCAAAATTCATCTGTAAAACTAATTTGCCTCTCTCCTCTCCTTTCTCCTTCCACTTAGGACAGAGCGTCAATCCCAAGTTTGCTGGCCTCATTGGAAGGCATGGCCCGCAAAACAAGCAGCCTTTTACTGTGGCCTTTTTCAAAGCTACCGAAGTACATCTCCGAAGCATCCGTTCTACAGGAGGTAAACAGCGGAACCAGAACCGATCAAAGACCCCAAAGAATCCAGAAGCCTTTCGAGTGTCAAATCTCGGAGGTATGCAAACATTAGGTGTGTGATTTCCATAAAATTAACATTGGGGATTAAGTTAAGAAGATGAAGCTGTTTCTGGTTGTTTTGTCTCTTTCCAAAATTGTTTTCATATTAGCTGAGAAGAGAGGAAATCTGAGCCTTGCTTTCTCTGCTGTGAACATGCTTAGATATTGAAAAGTCTGGAAAAATGCTTCTCTGCAAGCAACTGGTTATCAAGCATAAGGGACTGTAACGCACAATTGGAGTGTGCAAAACATTCTTAGCTCAGAACAGCCATTTTGAGGGCTCTGAACCTAAAACAAAGTAACCCATTGAGTTCAGGACAAAATAGAGACATTGCTTTAAGTGCTTTACTCTAGAAAAGAAAAAGTCCCTTGCTCCCAATGTTTCATCTGAAGGCCACTGCCCTAGATGGGGTAACAATCCATGCTAAGTACTACAAACGGTTAGGCTCCCCAGCATGACACTTGGATGAATACACCGAGGAACTGATTTTTTATTGTCACACAGGAATTGCAACCATAATATATACTGTAGTTGAGAATCTCTATATTATGGGGAGAAAGCTACAGAATATGTACCCAGTCACACTTCCAAGGAGGAACCTTACCAGTTTGATTTTCAGTACTTGATTGGCCATGCCCACCATTTTGTGCTTCCTACTTAAAAGGGAGAAGGTATTTATTGGATTTAAGAGTTGCACCTATGCTGTAGTGTAGAGATTCTATGCTGCCTCACATTTTCTTCAAATTCTTCCCACCCTTCTTTTAAGTCTGTTGTTAAAATGTTTATAGAAGTCAGATGAATATATTAATGTGTGGAAGGAATATTAAGAAATTATTAATATGTGGTTTTCATGAATTGTTTTTCTGGTGTCCTTTTTTATCCCTTATATGTATGCATTGAATTTTATTGCACTGTTTATAGATATTGTCCTTATTTTTAAAAAGGTCATTTATAAATGTAACTAGATACCCTCAGCTAGGCTGTGCATTATTAATAAAATTGCCAGGCTGGTTTCTGCGAGACAGTTGATCTAATATTGCTTTTTCCTTCTTTTTCTGCCCAACACTGTCCAACTCAGAAAACAGCAGCAGTGACCAGAGGCAAGCTTGCAAGAAACATGAACTCTATGTCAGTTTCAGGGATCTTGGCTGGCAGGTAATGCTACTTTTATGCTTGGAATTGGAGATCCATGGTGCACTTTAGTCTATTTATTATCAAGTGGGTAATATGAATCCTGTGACCTAGTTTTTCTATTATGTCCACTTTTAGAAAAGCAAAAGCCAAACTTACTTTGGCAGGTAAGAACATGCAAGACTCCATGATGTTTGCAAATAATTCAAGGGCAAGTGTTCATTCCGTATAGAATATTCAGTTCCACTGTTTTTTATATAAACCAATAGAATCAGTAATTTTAAAGCCATCTTCTGAATTTTTTCTGTGTATGAATGCATGCACACAGATATTTTTTCCAGGCTAATCTGTTGTAAGCCACGTGTGGCTTGTCCATCTGAAATATAGACTACTTGTTCATTATTGTTAAATTCATCATTTTTTCTGTATGGCCTCAGACATTACTTCTTCTGAATGTCTATTTTTACATCCATCCATAGAAATTCCTCTGTGAAAACCTCACTAAAAGTGACAAGATCTTTACAGGAGCTGTACCATGCTCTGATAGATAAGAATTTTTGGCACTGATATGCCAAAAATCATACACTGATATGTATGCATAGAAAAGTAGTTCCAAAGTCACAAGAAGAATCCTTCAAGATTGGACCAATGAGCCATATAGTCAACCAGTGAGAAATCAGTATGGATGCCTTCAATCAGGACATGAAAGTGACAAACCTTGGCCACTGTTGAACGTGAGCAAGCAGTTTTCAATCATGCTTCTAAACGTGGAGGTTCCACAACAAGGGGGGTAATTGACAAAACATGTCATAATGCAAACTCTGCATCTTATATGCTTGCATGAACTGCAAGAAGAAAAGAGTGGAGTTTCCACAGGATGTCATGATGCATATTTCACTATTTTGGTGACATCGACATCTATGGGCTACAGCTATCCATCCTGGCCATTTGCAAACTCATCCTCCATGCGATTACTTCATCATGCAGGGATTTTCATTCATTGCCACAAAGATTCAGCCATCAAATGTTAAAAGAGTGTGCAGTCATAAAACTGTACAGTGATTCTTCAGGAGCCCAGTTCAGGCATTCAAAGAATATATCAACAGTATATTGTGGAGGAGCAAGTGTGACAGCCTGCTCAACATGATCAAGCTGAGCAGGAAGGAAGGAAGATTTTTTCCCCCTTGTTTACTGCCTGGGAAGAAGCACTTAAGTGCCATCAGTGTGCAAACATAGTTTTGTGTAGCTGGACTAGAAACTGGGAGACTGTCAGTTCCAGGTCTCCTTAAGGCATGAAAGCTGGTGGGGTGACTTTGGAACCATCACCTTCTCTCAGCCCACCCCACCCCACAGGGTGGATGTTGTGGGGAAAACAGAAGACAGGATCATTATTTACACCCCCTTAAGGTGGGATATAAATCTAATAAGTGTTTTGTTTCTTTTAATCAAAAGTAAAACAGTCATTGTAATCCACTGTTTCTCAACCTCGGCAACTTTAAGATGCGTGGACTTCAACTCCCAGAATTCCCCAGGCAGCATGCGAAGTTGAAGTCCACACATCTTACAGTTATTGAGGTTGAGAAATGCTGCTCTAGGGGAAATGAAAAAATCCGCAGCAACTCCATTGGAGTTTGGTACCACTGCATTGGGTCAAAGGATAAGTAATGTGCCCATGGCAGGAAATGAAGGTTAAGCTTCTGTTAACCCTCTCTTTGATCTTTGGATGATAGCACTGACCAGAGACATTATTTTAGTCCCAAACAATCCCTAGGCTGTTTTGAGCTAAAACAAACCTCCTTTAGCCCCCATCCTTTTTATCATTATTCCTTTATTGCAACTTTTAAAAGAGAAGCATAGGAAAAAACAATATATGGAAACAATTTAAAAGAAAAACAATAATATTTAACAAATTACAATAGTTACTAAAATTGTAATATCAAAAAAAGCAGAAAAAATTAAAAAATGAAGCATAAAAAAAATAGAAAATGAACATAGTACATGAACATGAATCACCCAAATATAGCACATATTCCTATAATAGGTAATAACAATGAATCAAATTGTCTATAAAAATAATCTTTGTAAAATATTAAATTTATACCAAAGGGAAATGTATTATGTTGTTGTTTTTTGATTAGCTGAAAAAAAAACCAGTCTCCTCAAAAATGCATAAATTACATTATTTCTCAAATCTAGTCTTTGATATCTGAGGTTATAATGTTTTCCCATCTCCCAATATAATTCTCTTGGCTATTCCACACAGCCAATATAACCCGAACTCCTCAAAAACAATAAGATTCTACCATTTTGGACCCTCTTACCCCCTCCTGTGTTCTGGTAAAATCAAACTTCTGAAAACCAATGACAAAATATGTATGACTAATAACCATGATCCATAAATGAGCCCATGTATGCAAATTTTTTTTATGTCAGGTTTTTTGAGGAAATATGGGAAGTATATTGCTATGAGAAAAAGATTTCTAGTGGATATATTTGCTTAGCATGATTAAAAGCTGTAGTTTTATGCACACACATAAACAGGGAGGGAGGAGGAGAGGACTGAAATGGCCATCCTATCCAGAAATGGCAAATATGATTGTAATCCAGTTCCAAGAAGAACAAACAGACAATTTAAACCTTCCAAAACTGGTGGGATGATATTTTCCTCCCCTGACCCAGCTAAACATGTCATGTCACTAAATGGTAAGGGTAAAAGGGTCAAATGTCATGTCCCAAAGCATGTAGTGTCCTCTGGACCTGGGCAAATGGAGCTTGCTGATCTTTACCTTATATTGCTCTTGGATTGTTTTGGACAAGAAGAAGTCTAAGAGGACTTTCTTGTCTCTGAACCTTGCTTGAAAAACACCCTCTTGAGCTTGAGTTGCACTTTCAGTCCTGACTTCTACCTGGCTTCTCAGATATGTCACTGAGTTTGTCCTTCCACTTTTAGATTGTTCTTGTCTTCTTTTGGCCTGCTTTGTGATCATGCTACCTGCTTTGTCCTTTGGTGACCCATCGGTTCTAACTACAGAAGAGTAATTAATTTGGATTCTTCTGCATCCTTCTGTCCTCATCTGCCTTTGTGCATTTGATTGGCTGGACCTCTTTCTTTTAAGTCCACATTTAAGTGAATGTCCTATATGTATTGAGATGCATTTCAAGACTTCTGAAAAATGATGTTGTTTATTGTATAGCTTATTAAATCCTCTCCATCTCTCTGCCTTACCTAACCCAGGACTGGATCATTGCTCCAGAAGGTTATGCTGCTTATTATTGCGAAGGAGAATGTGCTTTTCCACTGAACTCTTACATGAATGCAACCAATCATGCTATTGTACAGACACTGGTAAGCTTATCTTAAAAGTCTTTCACAACAGTTCTGTAGCCTGATCGGTGTTATTCCATTAAAAATCTCACAAGAGAGCTGAACTATATGGGTTTCAGGGAAGTAAAATAATCATTGGCTATACACCAGCATTGCTTGTTCCTTCCATTTGGTAGTTTGTCTACCAGAAATCTGAAATAGGGAGAAGGAGTTGGTATAAATTAGAGCTGTAGTTTTTATCAGATTCAAAGGCAAAGAGGTTGTATGGAGCATAGGGGAACATGGATACAGCATGTGCCTGCTCCTTAAACCAAAGTAGCTGTTGGATCCCAGGAAAGACACAGCTGCTTTAAGAAGTTGTAGAGATATTTTGTGAGCACCTCTGCATGCTTCAAAGTATGTTTTGCTTTTGAAACTGAAGGATGGCATAGTCCTAGGATAAATGACTCTGGAGGGACTTAAAATTGTCATAGGATCTTCTTCCCTTCCTCTTTTTCTCCATTCTCTTTTCCTCCTGTTACATTTAAATTTAGTAGCAAGTGAAGTGGCCAAACTATAGCTGCTATTTTCTTCTTTCCTGGAGAACCTCTGAGAATGAGACAAATGGTAGATGGTATCCACCCAACAGCTGCCAGAGAGCTACTGTTGCCACTCTCTGCCAGTAGATTTGGAAAGTTTAAATTGTCTGCTTGTTCTTCTTGGAACTGGATTACAATCCTATTATCGTGTATCTACAATTTGCCATTTCTGGATAGGATGACCGTTTCAGTCCTCCTCCTCCTCCTCCCTCCCTGCTTATGTGTGTGCGTAAGACTACAGCTTTTAATCATGCTAAGCAAATATATCCATTAGAAACCTTTTTCTCATAGCAATATACTTCTCATATTTCCTCAAAAAACCTGACATAAGAAAACTTGCATATGTGGGCTGGTTATTAGATGTACAGATTTTGTCATTGGTTTTCAGAGGTTTGATTTTACCAGAATACCAGGAATTCCAATAGGTAGGGACTAGGCTAGGCTACACTTAGATTTCTATCTTGAGCAATATTTTCCATCACCACAGATTATCAGGAGTTGAAGCTCCATACACAGTAGAGGACATTGGGTTATTCCAAGATTATAGACTAGATATAATTATTAATTGATACTATGAGTGAAGAACTTGCAGCTACATTTGCAGTTCAGGAATAGCTAGTTCAGCTACTTTGATGGTGGTAACTTGTCTTCTTTGGGCAACACCCATTGTGGGTACAAGTTGCCATGCAATCAGAGGAAATCAAGTGTTGGTAATAATAGGTGCCAAAACTGGATCTACTAGTTGAATAATGGGAGGAAACTTTGACAGGGGAAAGAGTATGAAACTCAACCAATTAATATGTGTCTATGTGTGTGTATAAATCATTATAAAAATGAAAAGTGAATAAAAGTGAATTAAGTACATTTTTACCTTAAATATATTTTTGCTAAGAATGGGAATTTGAAAAGTACTAATGAAATCATTTAGATATTTGAGAAACCCAGTGCTACATCTCTTGGATGGGGGAATGGTCCAATGAAAGCCTTCCCCCACAAAAGAGAAGAGGAGGAAGAGGAAAAAGAGGAAGAGAAGAGAAAGATTATTGTAGTGATACTGTTTATATCCATATCAATCATCTCTTCACATCACCCGGTTCCCAAGACAAGAAAAAATATCTAAAGAACAGTCACAAACCCACAGGGACAAGTGACTTTTTTGGCTGTAAGGGCTGCATTAATGATAGTGGGGTGTGAGTTGCACACACTCACACATTCACACACACATTGCACATAGTAATATGCCTGTACAGAAAGCCTCTTCTCCTCACCCTTCTTGCCCACTGCCCCTTCCTCACTTCCTTATGTTACACTTGCTGTTGATCTTCTGTAAGACCTATGTCTACTAAATCCAGTAATCACAGTCTTCTTGGTACAGAAGTCGGGGTGTCAGATCTGAGAGAACTTGGTGATAACTTTCTTAAAAAGCCCTGTTCCTTGCAAAGTCCAGTAACTATAGAGCTTACTCAATTCAAAGCTCAGAACGTACCTTGTTTAGTTCTTGCACAGTGATCCTGGAGCTTGTAGAAGTAGGCCTTTCAAGAAACTGGCAGCAGTGACAGTGGTTATAACACCAGCGAGTCAGAAACAGACAAGCAGGTATGGAGGGGGAAGGAACCATAGTAATTTGTTGAGAGCCATATGCCAGGGCTGCAAAATTCCAATAACCACTAGATGGCAGCAAGGAGTTAAGAGTTTTCAGAGTCTTTCCTGCCATCTAGTGGTTGCCTGGATTCTTACAGTCTTTCTGGTAGCCCATCTTATGCTGTTGTGTTGTATTTGTATTCAATATTCAGCTTAAATCTTTGTGATCATCCTGATGTCTCATAACTTATTTGCCTCCAGGTTCACTTTATAAACCCTGATACCGTGCCGAAGCCTTGCTGTGCCCCAACACAACTCAACGCCATTTCTGTTCTCTACTTTGACGACAGCTCCAATGTCATTTTGAAGAAATACAGAAACATGGTGGTACGAGCCTGTGGCTGCCATTAAGAGCGTAGTCAGGAAAGCTATATGAGGATTTCAAAATGTGCAGACTGAATTGTTTTTATAAAATGGAGAATAAAAAGAAAAAAAAAAGAAAGAAAGAAAACTATCTTAGGAAGAACATTTCTAAAGGGGCCAAAGGTTCAGGAATGATTTTGAGGTGCAAGTGCTGCTTTGAGCAAAGTTGGTTTTAGTTTGCATATGAGCTTCATTTGCTTATGAGGAAAATAAGGATGAATTTTGGGAACACTGTTTTTTCCCTGCAAGTGCCTTGCCAAGGAAACGGACCTCTTTTTCCTTCCTTCCTTCCTTCCTTCCTTCCTTCCTTCCTTCCTTCCTTCCTTCCTT